TGAATCAGGCATAACAGGATCAACTTTCTTACATAATTCTATAATTTAATCATAATATTGTGTAATGGATTGATTAACCGTTAGTTTGTACCATTTTAATTGTTTAACAGCTAATTCTTGTATCTTTGTTGATCCAAAAGCCTTTATAACAGCTTCAGTAAACAATGACCATGATTTAATCGTCGTAGATGTTTGTGTCCACCATCGATATGCATCATCTTGTAAATGGATTGAAATATATTGTAATTTGAACCACGAAAATATGTTGGTTTTTTAATAATTTCATCGGCAATTGTTCGCTGTAAATGTGATGTAGATAAAGAGCTAGAAATAGAAATTGACGACACGTCCACCTCAATAGGAATATTATTTTGTGCTGGTGGTGATGTAGATGAATATTGTTGGAGAAATAATTTACTAGACGATTCAAAATTGGTGATTAAATCAATATGTCTTACATACCACAAATAAGCTTCATCAATTAATAAAAATGGTATAGATTGAAATTGTTCTATACGACGTAAACCATGTTGTTTAAATTGATTCATTGTTTGTAATAACCAGGCCTTGGGATCACCTATACCAGAATATTTAATAAACTTTGTATCAATAAGATTTTCCAACGAAGTTATTTCATTAATGTCAGATAATGAATGATTCATTGATGAAGAATTTATTTGAGCTTTCTGAAGATCCTGAATATGCCGTTTTAATCGATCACAAACGTGTGATCAATCATTATTAATTTCAGCATTTGTCTGTTCATACCATAATTGTTGTTCATCATTAAAATATGTAGTTGCTTGAAACACACGGAGTGATGATGGATATTCCAAATTTTCATATGTATTATATAAAATAGATAACCATTGATCTATCTGAATCATTTCATCTTCAGTTAATTTATTAATAGATTATAAAGCTATTTTTTCTTGCTCTCTCAACGATTGTAATGTCGACTTACTAACCGATGAAGGCATACTATCACCAGGTTTTTTCTCTTCAACTGATTCCAATGTTGATTGAGATGTTGGCATAGTTATTAATGAATTTTATTGAGGTAATAAATGAATTCTTGACTGTTTACAAACAGAATAAGTATTACTACGTGTTCGGGAAGGAGAACAATATAATAAATCAGAAATGTGATATTCTTGTAAATTAAAATGTGAACGAATGTTATTATTCATCAAGAACACACTCCCAAAAGAAGGGCAGTTCTCTTAATTAATTAAGCATTCATTAACAGAGACGATCCTTAAGAAAGGATGTTTCCAAAATTATTTCAAGTAAATGTAAAATCACGGCACCGATTTCTTAATAAGAAAGACACCGCTGTCACCACTTGTTAGATTTTGTTTTGCACTTGGAGTTCGATTCAACAATATGTTGACCTTTCTATATTTATTAAGGAAAAAATGTCCGTCGTACAATAGTTGTGCACGCACATATATAATATCAAAATGAAGAAAGAAGAGGAGAAGAAAGACCACGAACAAAAGTAACATGAAAGAAAAAAACATAGAGAAAGATGTCGCTCCTAACAATGAGATCTTGTTTTATTCTCTACTATTTACAGAAAATTTTCTTCATAGCTAGTGTGGGTAAGATGTATCGGTATACTCTTGATGCATATCCACATCCTCACTATGTCATCAGAGAGATCCACACTGTGAAATGAAACTAAGGTGCTATGATGACTATTAGACTTGTTACCTAAATTATCTTCAATCACAGTAGGAGATAAGAGGATTCCATTTTTGAATAGAAGACGGTCGTGATCGTGACCTTGATCTTTTTTCATTGTTAAGTTATTTTCGGCTAAAATCATTTCTACTCTTAGATTGTTGAATCTTATTCAAATATTGTCATTTGCATTATT